CTGAAGTGAGGTGGCTCTCAAGAGGAAAAGTGCTAACCCGAGTTCATGAGTTGAAACAGGAATTGCTAGTTTTTTTTAGACAAGAGGGTAATGATGTATACGTAAAATATTTGGAAAATGATGCATGGTGTACTAAGCTAGCATATTTAGCCGATATCTTCAGCTACTTAAATTCAGTCAATACATCTCTTCAAGGAAAAAATGAAAATCTTCTGACATCCACAGACAAATTGCTAGCTTTCCAGAAAAAGCTTTTGCTTTGGAAAAATCGTATTGCTCAAAATCGCAAATTTGATATGTTTCCGTTATTAGCAACGGAAAATATTGTTAACATTAACGAAATGATTTCAAATGTGGCAGAGCATTTGTCAACATTGCAAGACAAAATAACTCATTACTTTCCATCTCTTAATATTGAAGACTTTGATTGGGCGCGAAATCCATTTGGTGAATTTGATATAATGAACCAAGATTTTTCTATTCAGGAAGCAGATGAGTTTATTAATATATCAACGGATCGAACGTTACAACTAAAATTCAAAGAAGAAGGAGTGGAAAGGTTTTGGATTTCCATCGAGAATGAACATCCATTTATTGCAAAACGAGCGTTGAATATCTTGTTGCTCTTTTCGACGTCCTATCTGTGCGAACTTGGATTTTCAACTCTAACAAATATTAAAAGCAAAAAAAGAGAAAGACTTACCAATTTAGAAGAAGAAATGAGAGTAGCGCTCTCTTACATAAGACCCAACCTTGAGGAAATTTGTAAAGGTCGTCAAGCGCAAATTTCTCATTAAAATAAGTTACCATGTAATATATATCCTTATTTCAATTAAATATTAATCTTCCAATTATTTTGTGTGATTTACATTAGATTTACAAATTTTATGATAATGGTGTTCCGCCAAAATCGAGACCACTTAAAAGTGTTCCGTGATCCCAAAAAGGTTGAGAGCCACTGGATTAGTTCTATAAGCAGCGATGCTATATCGATCTAAAAAAATTTTAACGCTGCGACTCTGCCGGGTCTGCGAAAAAGTTGCATCAACAATGAAATTTTAAAAGGGACACCATGTATATTATTCCATTTTCCGATCCTTCTTTTTCTTCTTCTTCTTTTTCATGTTTAAGAACTGGTGACCTGTTAGTTTTGTAGGTTTCTCTATATCAGTTTCTGGGAGGTGAATTGCCAGCTGTCCTTCAATCTTTTAGGCAGTCTTCCTTATTAGTTTCCCTTCAAGTGCAGTGGGTGGCAGTCTTCTCTCTTGAATTCTTCCTACGTGAGCGTACCAATATCTTTTTCTTTGTCTCCCACAATGTCACCACCCTACATTGTTCCCTGATGTCAGTGTTCCTAATTCGGTCTCTTCTTGTTTTTTCCCTTATAGTCCATAACGTTTCCATTTCGGCTACTCAAAACATGTTTTTCGTCTTGTTAGTTTCTTCTCAGGTTTCTATTCCATACATCATGATTGGCCGATACAGGTCTAACCTTGTTGCTATCCTTTTGCATGTAGTCGTTCGTCCATAATATCTGCCTTAAGCAGCCCTACATGGCAGTCACTTTATTGATCTGGCTTCTCAGATCTTTCACCGGATCGTGTAACTCTAATACCGAGATATTTAAATTGTGATGCTTGATGATTCTGTCCTGAACTACCAGCTTACATTTTATGGGCTCTTTTGCAAAGGTCATGCTTTTCGTTTTTTCTATAGACTTGATTATGTTCATTGCTTAGCTGACCTGGCAGAATTTGTGTAGCGGTCTTTGTAGATCGTGCTCCCTCTCAGCTGTATCATCGGCATGCTCATTGTTTTTTTTTTAATTTTTCCGACCAAAACATAGCTTCAACTAACTTTTTATTACTACGACACTGGAACCAGTAGAAAGTTAAAAATTCGGACACAGCTTAGGCAATTATCGAACAGGATTTCCTAATGTCGAAATTAGTTCTACGGGGTCAAAATTAATGATATACCTATATTTAGTGGTTTTTCTTTACTTATTATTTTTATCACTACGACACTGACGCCAGTGGAATGTTAAAATTTGGGATATAGTCTAGGGCGTTATCGAACAGAGTTTTTAATATCGAAATTAGTTCTATATTATACAAGGTTGGTCTTAACTAATGATTTGCCTCCAAATACAAAAAAGCTGATTTTTTTAAAGGAAATACCGCGCATATTATCACATATTCTAACAGGAAATTAAATTCCCTTTCGAATAATGTACCATGTCCAATAACTAAATTTTTTGGTTTCTGAAATAAAAGCAAGTTTCTTTTATTTTGGCATAATTCATCTTTTAGGGGACCAGGAAATATCCGTCTTATATTAAATAATTCGTTTACCGTTCAATAAATAATATTTTATGTCGATAGAGCATCGCCGTTTATGGAACTAACCAAGTTTCCAGAACAATCCGATCCGTTCGTCGTAAACGTCTAAGGTATCATCAACCGTGAAACACCCGGTATATAAATCCTCCTTGTTTGTTGTCTTGTTTTTTAAATGCATACGATACTATTTTAACTAATTGTTGTAGTGTCTTAACATCCTAAAATATAACTCAAGCATGCTTGAAGATAAGGCTAGAGAATGGTTTACTCAAAACAAATAGTGCCTTAGCGAATAGAAGACTGACTGATAATTTCAAGCAATACCAATTGCAGTCGGACATACATATAGATGGGTCATTGATGTAGACAGTCCACATAGATATATTATGTAACAAACTCTCTAGCAGGATATTTTTAATAAAATGGTTGAAACCAGTTCTTAGTTATTATGCTCTTTTTAGAGTCACTTTCTGCAATACGTGGCAGGGCAAACTTATGAAATGTAATCTCGCACAACACAGGCGTTTTAGGGAGAATTTTGATATGCTCAGTTTGAATACGATGTATTACTTTAATTTTATAATTATATTGTCTACTGAATAAATATATTGTTAAATGTGTGAGGAGAGTGAGGATTTCCTAATGTTGAACCGTTTGGTATATTGCGATGAAGTTTGAGATGGTATTATGAGATAATTCTTTATTTTTTGGCTGAAAATGACATTTTCATAAGGCCTTTTAATTTTTAATTCACACATCGATTTTAAGCGACACTATTATTATTTATTACTATTATTAGCTTTAGTTTACTTCTGATTGTTGTCACGTAGAAAACCAAATCAAAGTGCTAACCATTTAAAAATGATTGAATCTAATGAATTGAATCTAACTAATAAAAAGTATTTATAAAAATATATATATTTTGGATATGACATTTTCAGTAAAAAAATATTACGAATTGTCCCATATAACACCATCCCAAATTTCATCGCAATATGTCAAACCGCTGGGGTCAACGGACTTTATGTCCTCACTGTGTGTTTATATTTAGAGACGTATTCATCGTTTACCTAGTAGTACCTGTAAGTCTCACCTGGTGTAAGTCAACACCATACCTTCTGCATATCTTCTGTTTGTTTCCTCTCCTAGTGCTCGTTTCATTATTTCCTTTGAGTAACAAAATTACATTGGCACTAAAAAACGCCCTTTTCTAACACATCTACGGATTTTTAACCACTTCAACTTGTTTAACTGGAACAATATATTTTTTAAAAATTTCCAAAGAAACTTCCACTTCTGGATTCATCCTTCGTCGGTTGTTATTGAGTCGAACTTGCTAAAGTTTCTAACGACTAAATTCCCTATTTCCGAAACTCTCAACATCATTTAGGATATATTAAAATCCGAGAATCTGGAATCAAACCATGTCACCTTGCGTTTACAGAAAACCTACGCACACAGACCGATACCCTTAATGCATTGTCACATTACCAGAATTCTCTTTTCTTCTCTCTAACAATTTCCACATTAAAGATCTTAAGCGTTCCATCACAAAATACACTTCATCACAGACTTCCAATAGCAATGAGCCTCAAAGCAATCCCACACTTGCCAATGTTGTCCTTCCTTACATTTAAAACATCACTGACTACATATCAAAAGTTCTAAAGAAATATAACGTCAAAACCAGATTTACTAGTCCAAAAATCTTTTAACATCTTCGATAAGGCAAGACAAACTTTTATTTGAGAAGAAAGGAGTTTAGAGCATTCCATGTATATGCGGCAAAGAATGCATTGGAGAGACCGAACGAATAATAGCTCAAAGAACATGAAAGACCCTTAAGAATAAGACAAATAAACTCAACAGCAGTTGCCGAACACAATCACGGAAGTGGACAACAAATTTTATTTGATAAAACTAAAATTCTTGCATGTAATCAATTTCTTCGAAGAATCCGAGAGTATATAAAAATCTATAAGCAACCTATTGCTTGTATGGGCATCAGTCATCCGAGACGATGTGAATGCCTTTCATTTAGCTCCGCCCCCCTCAAACAATATAAACAGTTACAGAGTAAAATGCTAGTCAGTTTTAGTTAAGCTCTGAAGAAGCCAACAGGTTGATTAACGAAACGTTAGGAAGTTCGCCTCAACAACAACCGACGCAGGAGGAGGAAGTTTTGTAGATTGTTATATATTGTTTAAGTTACCAGGGAATAAGCTTTCCAATTACCTATTGATTAGGGAAGTGTCAGATAATGTATTAATGTTATGTTGGTCGGTTGGTTTTGCTTACATACCTAAAATACTTCTTATAAATTTGAAAAATTAAAATTAGGTTACTTTTGACAAAATTCAAATTATTCAGTCGCCCTTAGGGTTGAGGTGTCATAAACGTATTAAAAAATACATTCTTTTTGGTAGTAGAATTCAAAAATGGTATAATATACATTTAAAATACAAAATACAACTTTGATACTTTTAGAGACTACTAAAGTTACTATAATGCGACTTTGCACATCCCAAAAGTAAACCTTTTTGAAAACCTCGTATAGCGTAGCGCGAATAATCCCGTATATTCTCGTATTCAGTCTCTACCGTTTATAATCCACGTCTACGTTTAAGGAAACTCGAAAATTAGGACGTGACCACTTACTTCGTCGGTGTCGGTCCCGAAAAAAAGGAGATCGAAAGGTACCGCGGCCACCAGGTCTATGAGGAACCACCCCTTGAGGTAGTGCACCGCTATCCGGACCGGGTCGGATACGATCTCGTCATTGCCTGACACGTAGGTCGTCCGAAAATTGATCAGGATGTCGATTATGAAGGTGACGTCCACTGCAATGCGTGACAAATTATGTGGAAGCGGCTACAACTCGATTGTTTCGTTAATTGATTACGGTCGGAGGGGAGTATATCGTGGATCCCCGGACGTACAATTAAACTAAATTGATAACACTCGAAACGGGGTTAACCAAAATCATTGACTGTCTTCAAAACTACATAAATCGGCAGCACGTTATCTTGACGGTGTCACCCTGATTAATCCGAGATTCGACGATAAAGGCTGCTGGTTCCATAGCTGCATTTTACAACTAAACCCAAGTAATTGTAGCTTTACACATTACACAATAAACAATCTAACAAATAAAGATATAAGATATTAAAAATAGTAAACAAATAAAATGTAGTATTGCCGACATTGAACCACATTTAACCTAATTACATAGATCGGGGGAGGGCTGGTTTTGGTTAGTTATTATTATTATTATTAAGCGCTGTTTGTTTACTTATTAAAAATATGTACAATTTAATCTAATCTTAGTTATTAACAGTGGGATATTAAAAGGCGGAAACAGGTATAAAACTAATGTAAGAAGGGTACCAAGTACTTATCGCGCCATCTATATTTTGACGGAGGCTTCATTAGAGTTAAAACAAAGCCCCGCCATTAGAGAGCACTGCAGTAAGCTCAGCAGTAGCAGTGCTGGTGAGTACTTTTATTTTCTGATTTTAATTTCTTAAACGAATGGCGAACTAACGGCTTTTGTTGCTTTGTTGACTGATATTTTACGGTTGAATTTATGATATTAGCAATGTTTGTGCCTCGGTTTCTACCAAAAGTTCATCGGGAACTGTTTGCCGTTTGCAGATAAAGTAGTTGGTGTTAAATAATATAATAATAATAAATTGTTTTCTGATCTTGAATTTATGTGGATGTTCTTGCCAAAAATGAATCGGGAATCCTTTGTAGCGTTAGTAGTGGGTGAAATGATCAATATTTTGAAAACGTATATATGATATGTTTTTAAGTTGATTATTCCACGTTCAGTTCTTAGGTTAGTAGTTAAGCTGTATGGCAAAAGCAGATGAAGAGTTTCCTCAAAAACAGTTGTTGGTATTTGCAAAAGTGACATTTTCCTCTTGCACCAAAATTCATAGATTTATGCCTATACACCGTACATATGGGAAAAAAAATTCGTCCCTTATTTTTTTTAAGGAAAATTCCTTTTTGGGCCGTATTCATCTCGGTCAAAGATGATTTGAGGTAACGTTCCATCCAGATTTAATTAACTGGCGGAAACAATCTCTAACCAGTCTCGAACCGTACGGGGTGGTTTATAAAGAAACGAGATGACGTCCATTGTCCTGTTAAGCATTATTTTCAACTAACGCTTGTGATCTTATTTAATATTAATTTTTCGGTAAATGGTAGGCTCGTTTCTCGTTTGATTCGGGACTCGTCTCCCTTTTCGCTAACAATGGCGGAACATCGTTCAAAGCGATACCCAAACAATGCTTCGAGCTTCCCGATGACGTAACCAAACGGCCATACATAATTCCCAATAAGCCGTTATTAAATTTTTAGGCAATTAATTTTTTTCGACGAACTCCTTTAACATGGCGCGTACCTTTGTCAAGAGACGATATACGAGACTTCCTATTTTAAAAAATTTTTTTCGCCATTAATTTTATTATTTCAAAAGAGAAAACAGATAGAAATAGTAAAAGAAATAACCAGTCCGTCATAACCTTGCTTCTTGAATGGGTTTTTTAAAATCAGAAAATGGTGTTTTGACTACCTAGGTAGGTGCGTCATGTAAGAACAACTTATTTATTTCGGACGTGAGTAGGTATACTTGCGGGGTTCTGAGGACTCTACTCATATAAAACTACTCATTGGTCTATATTTAAACATAAGAGAAATAGAGAAAAAGTTTAATATAGTAGCTTCGTGTATATAGGGCGTCCCGAGTTATAAAAAAACTTTTTTTATTTTTCAATTTTTGTGTTAAAAATTAATCCGACGTACCCATTTCAAGTACACTAAAATTTTGCGTAGTTTCCAAGACATCGTGTCTTGACTGTAGGTTTGTTGTTGCTCTTTGTTTGTTGTCTAATATTATGAAATCTGTTTCAAGGTCTACTTTTCAATTTTTGATGGATAAATAAATTGGACATGCTAAATAGTATATTTTTTCAAATATTTTTCCTCGAGAACTAGGATGGATCGTGATATCAATCAAGTTTACCTTTTTCTCGTAAGAAAGTCTAAAATTCAACTTAGAAAAAAGTTATTGCAGTTTTTTTCACAAAATCAGATTCAGCATGCCAAAATTTCTAAAACTCCAAGGTTTCAAAATATTTTTCACCACCCGTTTCGGAAATATTGATAAAAACCTATTTTCAGGTTCATTCCTTTTAGCGCATGTGACTCCGCTAGGTGGATTTGTCAATATATGTTTATATAGAAAACTAGGGTTCACTTGGGCAGTAGCATATGCTGTTATACTTTGGCCTACTAATTTTGGACCACCATGTATATGTTTAAAAATATCTTAAACTATTAAATTCTTTCCTGGATCTGTGCTACAGTTCTGCTGTTGCAATCACATGTACGATTTAAAAAATATCGGGATGAACTATTACAATTCAAACTAAACAATAAATTATACTGAATTACTTTCCACTTAAAAACTCACCGATAAGGTCTATTATAACTATGGGATCTTCACTGTACTTCTTATTTTTCCTGTTGTTGAAGTCGGGCTCGCCGAGCAGGAATGCGGCTACGTAGGGGGTGAAAATGGCGGTGTACATGACCAGTATTAATATAATCCAGTCCCACACCGCCTTGAAGGGGCTGTAGTGAAGAATGGTGTAGTTGTGGATGCGCGGGTTCTGCAGCGTGTACTCAGGCAGCACGTCCGCTCCCAACGATAAGACCTGAACGCATTACGAGAAGTCATTAGAGGCCTCTAAAGCACGAAATTTCTTAATATTTAAATGCCTCGCGTTATTGCAAACCTCTTCGTCTTTCTGTCGGGCTCGATTTAAATTTGCGAGAAGTAAGTTTGACGCGAGTTGCCGTTTAGTTTGGGTACATTTGGAGGCTTGGCGGTTGGTTCGTTAAATCTTGATTACCGATAATTCGGTGAAAAGCGAGGCCATACACGACGCTACATAAATCTCGATGTAGAACGCTCGTAGCTGCGTAGCAATAAGAGAATGCGAAACTCGCACGGGGACAAATCGATACTTAACCTGGAATGCGGAATTTTATGTCCACATTATCGAAATATATAAATCTACCAGCGAGGTATACTAATAATTAATAAGCAAATTACATTCTTAAACTCAGATCTACTTGCCTGAGGAGTAATTACAATATAAACCATAATTAATCGCTAATCGAGGAACAGTGTATTATAATATATTATTGTTATTATTAATAAAATCCTTTCGTGCAGTTCTGATCAATCTGTAAGTGGGCCAGAAACTGTCGACCGATATTCCCGAATGAAATGAAATTGAAGGTTTTGAACTTATTGCGGTAGAGAAACACGGTAGGTCTAGCGAAACCTTAAAAGAAAAGTCTAGGCAGATCCGTAAAAGTCTTCAATGAAGACACCAAATAAGAGAAGAAGTACAAAGCAGTACCGAAGAGACCAGAAGAAAATATGTTATCCTAAGGAGGCGATTAATGAAGGTTCTATAGTACCAAAAATGTCGAAAAACGAAAATGTTCCAAAAGGCCTAGTAATGGGTATTAGAGAGACCTTAGGATGGTTTTGAAAACTATTTTGGTGAAATGATAAAATATCTTCCATCTGATTCGGTAGTAGTTATGGATAACGGAAAATGTCACGAGAATAGAGAAGACTTGAACTTGGTTTGATTAACTACCAAAAGTAATGGATTTAAAGATAATTTGATAAAGAAGGAACTAATACATATAGCAAATTTGCACGAACATCGCTTTACGAAATACGCCGTGGAAGACATAGCAGAAAAAACAACTATAACTGTGCTACACACACGGCCATATCATTGCTGCTAAACCAACGTACTGTTTCATTAAGCCTCAGTGGTGGACATCGCAGAACTGACAAAAAGCAGTCCAGCATCTTCATAAACAATAGGAGAAACATTTTGAGAGTATAAGAATGTTAGATGAACTGAAACAGCTAAAATTTCACAGTTTAAGAGTAAACGATCAAAGCACAATCGTGGTCTCGAAGGTCAATCTTAAGTTTAGAGAAGAAGAGTATTCAAAAAAGGTTAGAGCAGAGTTCCTTTTCGAAATTCCTGATGCTGTTTTAGCTTCAATGTGAGAAATGAATAAAAAATATTGGAGTTTACACCATTGAAATCACAGGAGTTCCTTCTTGAACATCCTAATGTTTTCAGAGCGTTAATGTGAGAAATGATTCACCGCGAGTTTTTCTATCGTGGTTATAAAATCGCTAGAAAGTATCTAACTATGGAAATTTATATAAAATACAAAACCTCCGCACTCCATGCCTGTATCATTACGTCGTCATGACGCGGAAACAAATCGCATCTCGGACTTACGTTGCCTATGTTTTTGATATTTCCCGCACCGTTGGTAGGGCTTTTCAAATTCTGATAATCCATGCCCAACGGAAGCCCGTTGCATGGTTCCACTTTGACTTTGCTCGAATCTTCGAATCCGGTCCCTTTGATCCTTACCGACGACCACTTGACGGGGAATCCGATGAAAGAGGAGCGTTCGCGACCGAACTCGTACTTCAAACTGCCGCCAACGGCGCTACGCGTCGGTCGCGGCGGCGCGTCGCCGCCGTCCAGCGTCACCGTCCGGTGACTGTCGCTCGTCCGACGACTATCGGATGTCTTGCGGCTGTCCGACTTGCTGCTTTTGCGAGCACCCGATTTTTTGCGTTTGCGCGGCTGTTTTTCTGAACCGCCTGACGTCACGATCAACGGAATCTCGACGGTTAAGCGTTCGCCGTCCATAGCGGGCGGGGCGAGTACGAAGCCACGCCCTTCGGGTGGGACATTTACGTGCTTGTGCGAAAGGGGGAGGCAAAAACTGAATCGAGTCGCTATTATACGCGATGATTATGCGGTTGTCGATATGTTATTGGTATATTGTCGATTGATACGTGTCGTTCGAGCGCTGTAGAAGTCGACGGAGGTTAGCAAGGGTGAAAGAAATGGCGGCTTCGTCGTAACAGTCCCTGTTGTCCCGTGATCAATTAAGTAGTATGAAGGTGTAACGTAGCTACCTGTAAGGCGGCAGAAGGCTGAACACCATAAATCAGTGTTTCCCAGTTCAATACAGAGTATCTATCGTTAAATAATGCTCAAAATGAATTAGTAATCAAAATGTTTTTTTTTTTCATTTTTAGTACATAAATATAATAATAATTAACGAAAAATAAAGTTAATCTATAATTGTGGTTTAAATCAACACTGATAGGTATAAGACCGACTAAGCAAAATTTATTTATATCGAGACGATTCTTATTTAATACGACATTTGCCGTTTTAAGAAATTATAATTTTATTGTGGTTGAACCTAAATAGGAAAGGTAATTTACCAGAAAGTATTTAAGAAGAATGAAAAGAAGTAGGACACACGATATAAATGGAAGTAAAAATTTGAATAAAAGGATATCACCATTAATAAATTAATGACTTCTGCTCCTTTTTGGTAGTAGAGTGCGCAAACTGAATATAGCCGATTTAAAATGTCATGTAAATTGTAGAACCTAGAAGTGTTTCGTGTGTCATTTAATCTGAAACGTTTAATATCCTTGTTCTATGCCTTCTGGGCTTCTTCGGATAATAACTCAGTCGGCAGACAAAATCAGGAAATTATGACAGAACCATGTGCACAGATGTTGTGGACGGAGATATTGACACAGTTCCTCAGTGTCAGTTGCATAAGATCCAAACCTTGAACTCTTTATATCATAAATACAAGACAATATTTGTAAAATGAAGTGTACTTTTTGTATCAGGCGAATATCGATTCGAGAAATAATGCTGGAAAAAAAAATCATTGAATGTTTCCATCATTTGACGAACCGAATCCTGGTTTAGGCTTATCAACAATCAGATCTAACTGACTACGCAACTCATCCTGAATACGCTTTTTTCAATCTGTCACGCTTTGTTTGTGTTCTACTGATCTTGTATGCCATTTTTCAATGCATATTTAATATGATAGGTGCGGCAGGTAATTATTTCGTTACTGATCTATCAAACATATCCAACGTGTGTGTACGGTATGCTGCTGGTAAATTCTAAAATACAACTTATTTCCATTTTATTTCGTTTCATTTAAGAGCCTTTCTGCCCTCGTGCCTTTTTTATATTTACGATCGTTATAAAGAAAAAATATCAAACCGCTTTAAGTATGTCTTACTGGATTACTGTTTTTTTTTCTCAAAAGCAAAGTCTGCAAAAAACCCTTAAGACCCAAACTTAATTCGAAAAAAATAGAAACGACAATAAATATCAGTGATGTGCAACACCATATATTTCAGAAAAAAATGCCACTGCGACAACAGGTTTATAGGAACTTTTTTCTTAAGATAAGCCAAGAAATTACATACATTGATTTGTACATGGTATTTATAAATGCCATGAAAAATTACTGTGCAAATACTTTAACTAATTTTTGAATCACTCAAAACGCCACAATATTAAAAAATAAATATAAAAAGTGAAGCAAACTTAAGCAAGATTTTTTTCTTACAGTATATTTGAGGTCGGAAATATAGCAGAATCACAAAAAAAATGTTAGGAACTTTTGGTTATTATTGGATAAGTTTATTATATTAGTTATTACGTATGTTGAGTATTATTATCTATAGCTAATTAAAGATGTTGAAAAACTTTTGAAATAGTTAGTGGAAAGCAAACTTTGCTGGAATGTTACAAATAATTGCTTTATAAATTGGATTACTAATACCGCAAACGAAAATATCATTCACAACTGGCTTATTTAGAAATTCGATCGGTGTCCGACGAAGAAGTCTAAAAGACTCGTGAATAGTGTATTGCATTCAAGATTCTTGTTTACTAACGGAAGGAGGGAGTCTTCTTCTCCATTGTCGTCTATTGGCACAAATTTGATTTTTCACAGTCGTGTTTACTTTATCTTGAACGTGAAACAATGAAACTTCTTTGCGTTGCACCGATAACTTTTGCGTAACATCTGTTTAGTAAGATAATTTACGCTGGCAAACGGTGCCCGTCTCTCATAGAGTACGCGTTGGTTAAAGTTTGTTCTAATCCACCTACATGTGTATTTTGCTAACTCTTGGTTTGCCTGTAAAGTTTTTCAAGGGTTCCGCAAAACAATTTGAATAAACACAATTTTGATAGTTTTAGCATTTCTGAGAGAACTTGGATAATACGGAAATTCAAAACTTGGATTCTAGAGCAATAAACAACAGCGGAGCAACAATAGCGAGATTGTTTATCTGCTGCCTTTACCGTTTATTTGCGGTTTTCGAACTTCTTTGCTATACAGGCTGCGCACACGTGCGTCCGGAAACGCAACAATTACAATTTCAAACGGGAAGCGCATAAGTCACGTTTGAACGAGGTTGTACGGGCGAGACATTTGCATTTAAGGCAAACCCTTTGAAGTGTAATACTTCATCGTTTTGCTTCACGCGCTTCTATTTCCGATTAACGATAATTGCCATGATCCTTTAATAATCACCTACGTGCAGTGTATGATCAATGCAATTTATGTTCTAAAGACTTCCGGCCGATTGCACCAACATATTAATCTTCTTCGTTTCATTCGTTTGTCATTGGCACCAAAGAGCCTTATTTGCGAAGCTGTACTTTACGTAGTTTAGATATTTGTTACCGTAACTTTTAAATCCGTGACCGATTTTCAATTCCAAATTAGCAAATGACTTCCTTCCCTTTCGTCCACT